AGGTTAGCAGAACTTGAGGCAGCTGAGGACTGTACAGGAGGTAAAGAGAGGGATGTGCCACATACAGCTGCCATATGTACAGTAGTCCTTTGCAGCAGGTCCCTTAAATATGCTGTTTTGCATTTGCTTAGTGATCTGAAACAATGGGAGAAACAGAGGCTTAGGGAGATTAGGCTACACAACTGTTGGATCTAGATCCAAGTTCTTCTCAAAGTCCATACTTGGCACAGGACTGTGAGCTCTCTACCCTAGAAGCAGAATGGCCCCCACTGGGCAGTTTCTAAAACTTCTGCTGCCTGCAGCCCACCACAAGATTTCCCACTGGATCCATCTAGTGTGGAGATTAAACTTTTTTGTTTTGTTTTTTTATTTTTTGTTTCTTGGTTGCTCATGGGGCTTGAACTCTGGGTCTGGGCACTGTCCCTGTGCTCTTCAGCTCAAGACAAGCACTCTACTACTTGAGCCACAGTACCACTTTCGGTTTTCTAGTGGTTTATTGGAGATAAGAGTCTCACAGACTTTTCTGCCTGGACTGGCTTTGAACTGTGATCCTCAGATCTCTGCCTCCTTAGTAGCTAGGATTATAGGCGTGAGCCACCGGCACCCAGCTCAGACATTGTTATCTTTTAAATTCCTGGGTCATGGTAAGAAGCACTCAGGATTGGAACATCGTCTGAAGATCTAGTTTCCCAGGCCAGAACCATAGCCACTAGCTATATAGAGCTACTGAAATCATTAAGATCAAGATGCACTGTACTCATAGACTGACGAGATAAATGAAATCCCTCTGTACAGCTACTTTAAGATAATTTTTATGGAATAATATAAATAAAATGAAGACTATGTGATGGCTTATGTCTGAAATCCCAGCACTCAGGAGCCTGAGGCCAGATTATAAAGAGTCTGAGGTCAGCCTAGACAACTTAGTGAAACCCTGTTTTGAGAGAGAGAGAGACAGAGACAGAGGAGAAAGGAGGAGGAGGAGGAGGAGGAGGAGGAGGAGGAGGAGGAGGAGGAGGAGGAGGAGGAGGAGGAGGAGGAGGGAAGGAAGGAAGGAAGGAAGTAGGGAAAAAAAGAAGAGAAGAAACAGGAGAGAAGGAAGGGAAAGGTGAAGGGAAAGGAGGGGAAGGGAGGGGAAAGGAAGGGAGGAGAAGATACAGAAGAGAGGAGAGAAGGGGAGGTAACAAGACAGAAAGAAGAGAGGAGAGGGGAGGGGAAAGGAAAAGAGAGAGGAGGAAATGAAGAAGGGAAGAGGGAGAGGGGAAAGAAGGGAGGAGAAGAGTGGAGGGGAAAGGGGAGAGAAAGGACAGTGGTAGAGAAGAGGGGAAGAGAGGAGGAAAGAAAAGGGGAGGAGAGGAAAGGGAGAGCTGGAAGGGGAGGAGAGGAGATTTGTGGACAGAGGTGCAGTGAGAGACTATGGAGAAGAAGGGAGGCCTGGAGCGTAATTCTAGCTGCAGAGGAAAAGCAGAAGATGGATATCTGGAAGGGATAGTAGGTGAGAAGAAGGCGCAAGAGAGAAGGCTCTCAGGCTGTGAGCCAACTGCTTGGGAAAAGGCCCAGAGAACACAGTGCTGAGCTCACAGAAGACATTCCAGGAATCTCAGACATGAAGCAGAAAGCCCCATGGTCCTCAGTGCAACCACAGAGAAGAGAGTTGGATGCCACAGTTAATTACTTCCTGACCAGACGGGGGTGACTTGAAAGCAGTGAGGAGTCATTTAACGTGAAATGGTCACCAAGTTGAATTCAGTGTTCTTCCTTTCCTTCCAAAATTGAAATATACATGGTTGTTTTTATGATTTCCTAGATGTATTCTTAAATTTTACAGTCTTCTAATTTTCAGTGCTTCTGGGCTCTAATTTTCCCTCCACTTTTCATAAATAGAGGGAAAGTGCTTTGCAATCTGGTTATGGAGACTTTACAAAACTATCTTTGAGGGACTGTGCCCCTCCACTGTCTCCCAGGTACCAGACATTAAGAAATTGCTGTAGATAGCCAGGCACTGGGGCTCACACCTATAATCCTAGCCTCTCAGGAGGCTGAGATCTGAGGACTGCAGTTTGAAGCCAGCCCAGGCAGTAAAGTCCACAAGACTCTTATCTCCAATTAACCACCAAAAAACTGCAAGTTGAGTTGTAGCTCAACTGATAGAACACTAGCCTTGAGTGAAAATGCTAAGGAACAGCACATAGGCCCTCTGTTCAAGCCCCAGTATTGGCAAAAAAGAAAAAGAGAAGGAAGGAAGGAAGGAAGGAAGGAAGGAAGGAAGGAAGGAAGGAAGGAAGGAAGGAAGGAAGGAAGGAAGGAAGGAAGGAAGGAAGGAAGGAAGGAAGGAAAGAAAGAAGGGAGGGGGGGAGGGAGGGAAGAGAGGGAGGGAGGAAGGAAGGAAAGAAGGAAGGAAGGAAGGCAGGAAGGAAGGAAGGAAGGCAGGAAGGAAGGAAGGAAGGAAGGAAGGAAGGCAGGAAGGAAGGAAGGAAGGAAGGAAGGAAGGAAGGAAGGAAGGAAGGAAGGAAGGAAGGAAGGAAGGAAGGAAGGAAGGAGAAACTGCAGTTGAGGCTTCAGATCCCATTGGCTCCAATCATTTCCTCAAGGGCAGTGTTGTTTTTCTTCAGGTATTTATGAATATATATTTAATTTTAACTTGATTTAGCTACAATTTAATTGCTAGAAATGCAAAATTAAGATGACTGTTCAGAAAAAGACAAAAATTATATCCAAATAATTATAAGAAAAAAGTTTCTGGCAAATTATTAAGATTAGCAAATGAGCAATTCTGTAAATGAATGTTTGAGGAATTCATTTCTAGAAAATTGACATTCAGTGAACTGGTCATGTGGGAGCTAGTTGTAGCTGGCTTCCCCTAGGAGCTAAGGGGGCCAGCAGGAGGACCCCAGGACCATTTACCAGCCCCTCCATGGTTGTATGACCCTCAGGGCCAGGCCTAGTGTCTCCCTGCTAGTCCAGCCTGACGCTTGAATTGATCAAAATATAGTCTAGCTCCTGCATGCTAGTTCCTGCTGCCATGTTCCTTTTGTGGCCTCAGAAAACCCCATTGTGCCTGAAAATGCTAGACTACAATAATGAAGATGAAGCATGCATTTCCTCCGCACAGCCTGCAGTAACCAGACTGCCTGCCTTTGCCTCAGTGATGTCTCCCAACTCTAGCATCATTAGGGAAACTGAGTTCTCCAGAGGCCTCTGCAACCAACCATGGGGGTAGGAGGCTTACAAATATGTTCCAAAGACCCACTCTCCAATCACAACTCCATCACCAGCCTTGGAGAAAAGTTCCCCACTATCTCAGAGCCTCGGCTCCCCATCTTTAAGGATGATAATTGTAAGAATAGCATCTAACTGAAAGAAAGAGATCTCATTTATAAGGCTCAGCACTCAGCTCAGCTTTTGGTATGAGTCAGCTATCTTCAGCCTGGCTCCCAATCCAGCCCCACTGCTCCCTTCTCACGAGGCTGACAGGGCTGCACATCATGACATTGAGTCCTTCTATAAGACTTGAGCCCAGTGCCCTACACACCTCCATACTAGAATACCCTCCCTTTCTCACCTCACCAAAGCCTGCCCAGCCTTCCAGTCAGGATGAGGCCTCCTCCAGGAAGGCTTCAATGTCTGCCCAGTGTCCAGAGTTACTCCCTCCCTCATCTGGCAGGCTCACCTCTCAGGCTTCTTAAAGGTTGCCTTGTTCTCCGCATTGCCTCTGTGTGGGAAGGTAGCTTAGCCTGATTGATTCTGCCCCTGACCCCTGTGTGGTGCAGGTGGCTGATGTCTACAGCTGGACAAGCAACACCCAGGAGACCCTCAGCAGCAGGCTGGGCCCACATCACACTCTGCTGTCCATCCTTGAGGGTGCAGTAAATAAGCATTCCCTCGTCCCCTCTGCAGACACTCCACTCTGCAGTCATGGCCAACAGAAAAACAGAGACAACGATCACTGGATTTTTAATCCCCATCTTTTAAGATTTCAGACTTTCCATGTTGTTTTGCTGCCTGAGACCCTCCTGTTGAGCCTTCCTCCTCTCTTCCCTCCACCTGCCCCAATATCACACAGCCAGTCCCTCAGGCCTCAGAGACCACACCAGCTGACCCAGTTCCCAAACAAAGGCTCCCCTGTGAGCAGGCCAGCAGAGCAATCCCAGGCCTGATCCTTGGGCTCAGACTTCAGTAAACAGCCTCAGGTATATGAGCCCACCTCTGTTGTCACCTAATACAACTATGTCCCCACATGCCCATGAAGGACCCCTGACAGTTAAGGCTGATCACCATCCATCCTTGCATTTCCCTGCACCCACACTCCACCAGCTCATCAATCTCAAGCTGGGTTGGGGTGCCCTCCTGCACCCCCACCAGCAATAAGTACAAGGTTCATGAGCCCATTGGCAAGAGAAGACATTGTCACCTGCCTGGAGAGAGCTAGCTTTGCCTGACAACCCTCCCTGCTATGCGCATGAACTCACAGAATAGAAATCCTGCCACAGAGAGATCTAGTCCATGCAATCCCATATTACTCCTCTGACCTCTACACCAGGAATCTCACCTTGAGACCTAAGTCTTCTTCATAGCACTTCTGGATAACAAGCTTCCTGCTAGCTGCAGATTTGCCTGTCTGTCTCCAGGAGTGTGTGAGCACTCTTCTCCTGACCTCACCAGCCAGACTGGGCTGGAAGGGAGCCCCGCCCCACCCTGTAAGCCTCTGGACTGGATCAGGAGACTGGGAGCCTTCTCCTCCTCCCTGGGGCACACAAGGCAGGTACAAACCATAGACACCTGATCCTGGCCCGCCTTCCCTCTCCAGCAGTCTGGGCAGCTCTCAACTGTACCCATGGCTGAGTTTGCTGAAGCTGCAGCCAGATTTCTCCCCAGCATCTACCACTGGACCAGTCCCAGAAGAGGCAACCCTTGGTAAATAGTAAACCTGGGGCCCAGATCCAGGGCCACAACCTATCTATACCTTCAAGCCACAGAGAAACTCTACTGAGCCACCTTACCTGTTCCTTCCCATTGTCTCATGATCCTTGACCACCACATGAAGCTCGGAGCTCTGGTCCAGGGGAATACCCTTGAGATCCCACTCAAAGCCCTGGAATAAAAGAGAAAATGCATCTGAACCAGTGGTATCCAGGAGAAAAGACTATCTAGTTTTCCTTCATGCCCCAGCACTAAACACGCATCTGTGAATAAGTCTAGTAAGTGGGTAAATAATGGTTGGATGGTTGGATGGATGGGTGAATACTCAGGTTACGGAGGTTCAGAGGTGACTGTGAAAGCTGATGGCAATGGAAAAGAGGAAGTTACTCTCTCCTGACCTCTTCTCCCAACCCAATTTCAATTCATCCCCAGGAAACTCATTAAGGAGTAGAATTAAGCTAGAAAAATGCCAGATGAGCCAGGTATTAGTAGCTCATGCCTGTAATCCTAGCTACTCAGGAGGCTAAGATCTGAGGATTGCAGTTCATAGCTAGGCTGGGCAAGAAATTCAGTGAGATTCTGATCTCCAATTAACCACCAAAAAGCCAGAAATGGAGGTATGGCTTTAATGGTAGAGTGCTAGCCTTGAGTGAAAAAACAAATGAGAGTATGAGGCCCTGAGTTTAAGCCCTAGTACTAACACACACACACACACACACACACACACACACACACACACACACACACAAAGCCAAGTGACTGGGTAGGATTCTAAAGGACCAAACCATTGTGCTTGTCCAAAAAACAGATCCCTGGTAGGCCCAGCCAGAGGTTCTGAAACCCTCCTAAGGACAAAGGCTCCCATGTGCACCTTGCCTTGTCACCAAATATCACATATACGTAGACAGCCGGACAAGAGGCCATCGACCATTAGCAGCCACTGGATGGCCTGGTTAATGAAGGAGGGCTGTGAAGACGTGATAGTTTCAGGCAAAGGCAATGCCCGTGTGAAGAAGAAAAGGCAGGCAAAGGAGCAATTAGATATGTTCTACCTGGCTGGCCAGGGCTGGGGGAAGCGGGACAAGTTTTGATGTCCATGCCAGAGCTACCACTGGAAGACATCTCCATTTACCAACCCTCCACCCAAAGTCCTAGGAGTCAGGTTGACACTCTGGATCACCAGCTCCTCCCCTCCTCAAGGACAGCACTAAGAAAGCCACTCCTCCATGAGTCCCCTAACTTGTCCTGCAGAGACAAAGAGAAAGTGAAAAAAATTCACATACTTCATTCCACACGGGGTTCACACTGTTCTTGATGACTTTGGTTCTCTTCTTTACCCCTGCAGAAAATACAAAATGGAAAATAGCGTGACATATCCCATTCTGAACCATTATCCATCCAGTTAGGTTCGGCTCTTGAGACCTATGCTATGATTGAAAGGCCAAAGCAAATCTTACAAAAACACCATCCCCTGTGAATCCCACCAAGGAATATCTAATCACACAACTTCTCTCTCAGTTCTGGGACCACCAAACAAAAGCCTGGTCAGAAGGATGCTTTTTTTCAAAAATTGTCCAAGCTGACCAGGTATGGTGCCTCACACCTGTAATCCCAGCTTCTGATAGGTGGAGATCAGGAGGAGTTCAGCTCAAGGCCATCCTGGCCAAAAAAGATTAGCAAGGTCCCATCTAAATCAATAAACCAGGTATGTCTACAGCTGACTCAGAGTAAAAACAAGAGACCATACCTGAAAAGTTACTAGAGCACAAAAAAGGGTTGAGGTTATAACTCAAGTGGTAGAGTACCTACTTAGTACGCATGAGGCCCTGAGTTCATATCCCAATACTGCTAAAAAGGAAAAGGAAGAAGAAAATGCCCAACTGAGTTCATTATTGTCATTCCTGACTTCTCCCCCACAGTGCTGGAGATGAAAGCCAGAGCCTCAAACAGGGCAGGTAAGCATTCTAACCACTGAGCTACATCTACCATCCCTGACTTTTCAAATTGTTAGTTCCAATTGTAAGTTTTAGATTCTAAAAATGAAAAATCTTCCTAGAAAATACTATATGTCTCTCTTATTGTTCATTTCTTTTTTTAAAAAGAAGTCATATCCACATTGCAGGTATACAAAATGTCCAGAATAATATGTTGAAGTAAAACCCCTTTGTGCAACTACTTGATTTAAAGAATTAAAAATGTCCAGAATTATCAAATCCATAGAGGCAGGAAGCAGATTTTGTGTCCAGGAGTGGATAAGGAGCAGACAGAGTGCGGAATAATTGATCAATGAACATCACATTTCTTTTGGGGCTAATAAAAATGATCTGGAATTGATAACAACTGCATACAACATTGCAACCTAAAAGTCATCTAAATTGTGAATTTCACCTCCATTAAAACAAAATCACCCTCCAAATCCAAGGCCTTATAGGAGTCCACATAAAGCAAGCTGTGCCAAGGTAGTTCTACTGGCTCATGAGGACTGAGAGAGTGCAGCATGGCTTTTGGGTACACAGGAACTAACAGTGTGAAAATCTGATTCAGATGACAGAGCCCCATATAACAGAGGGGCATTTCTTCTGGATGCCTGTCCCAGTACAGTGGAGCACGTGGACCTTGGAGGAAAGATGGTACCATATGGGTATAGGGAGACCCCTAGTGCCCCTCTCTCTGACTCTGACTCATCATTATAAAAGAGATTGGACCTAGAGGGAAGGGGCCTGGTGCGTGGCTCAGCCAAACAGTGCATTCCTCTCTCTGAGTAATCCAAAAAAGAGTTGGTATAGCTTCTGGCCTCCCAACTAGAGGAGCAACATGCAAGACTGATTAGATCACAGTAAAGAAGGTCCCATTCACTCTACTAAGAGGCAAACCCTTCTTTCTGCAAAGACATACTTATCCACAGAGAGGCCCAGGAGATATGTAATAAAGCCTGGCCTGCTGTTCTTTTCATCCCCAGGGGCACAGAAGGGACTACACATGTCCAACTTTCCCAGGAAGCATCAGGAACAGAAATGCCTGGGCCTTCAACAGATGGTAGAAAGTATTCAGCCAGATGCAGAAATTCTCTTTGGAGTGGGACTTAAAGACCTCCCCATATAAGCCCATCTGCGTAAGACTGCCCAATGAGATGTCCTTGGTCTCCTCCATTGGACTGCTCAGCTTTCATTGCATTCAACTTGGACCATGAAAGCCCATGAACATCTGAAAAGATCCCAAGAGCCCCAAGTTCCCTAGAGTTGAGAATTCTCCATGCTTATCCATCATGAGGGGCCAACCTCCACAGTCATCCCTGCCTGCCAGGTTCGGAGGAGGGAAGGCAAAGCAGAGAAAGGTGGAGGATGTGGGCCAGGGGTATGACAGGATTTAGAGGAGAAAAACAACAGAGAGAGAGAGGAGCAGAAAGAGGGGGGGAGGGAAGAGAAGATTGAGAGAAAAGAGAGAAGAGAGAAACAGTGGTGGGTTTGGTAGATTCTAAAACAAGTATTTCAAAAATATCTGCTCAGTCTGCTTGAGTCCTCCCAGAGATTCTGACAAACTCTTCCAGTGGGAAAAGACAAATCCCAACCACCTCTCCCTTCTGGTTGCAAATCACTGATGTTGAAAAGATTGATGAGTAGACTCTGGAATGACACAAACCACCGTAAAATATCTCAATTCTCAAACGTTTTTGGTCCCATGAACCAAAAACCTATTGTAGACCTCAATGAACTTTTATTTAGGGGGCTTTTATTTGTGGGGGGGGGGCGGTTGTGGGGCCTGAACTCTGGGTCTGGGCGCTGTCCCTCAGCTCTTCAGCTCAAGGCTAACACTCTACCACTTGAGCCACAGTGCCACTTCCAGCTTTTTTTTTCTGCCTATGTGGTGCTGAGGAATCGAACCCAAGGCCTCGAGCATGCAAGGCAAGCGCTCTACCACTGAGCCACCTTCCCAGCCCATATTTAGGGGGCTTTTGTCTGTAAATTTTCACCACATTCAAAATTAAAACTGAATCATTCTAAATATATAGCAATGGAACTGAGAATGTGGCTTAGTGGTAGAGTGCTTGCCTAGCATGCATGAAGCCTTGGGTTCGATTCCTCTGTGCCATACAAACAGAAAAAGCCAGAAATGGCACTGTGGCTCAAATGGCTAGAGTGCTAGCCTAGAGCAAAAAGAAGCTCAGAGACAATGCCCAGGCCCTGACTTCAAGCCCCAGGACTAGCAATATATACATATATATATATATATATATATATATATATATATATGTAATTTAAAGCAATAAGGACAATACATAAGTGACACATTGCTATGAAAAAGAACTGTTCCTTCCAAAACAAAGGAAAAAGAAATGCAACATTTACATTTTTGCAAATCTTTTTAATGACTAGATTATCATATCTACATTTGCATTCAATCTGTTCACATTTCTCTTTTTAGTTTAATATATGAAGAAAATCCAGCCAGATATGTAATAGAAAGGGGTATAATTTAATGAACTTTGAAATCACATCAAAACTCAACAAGTAAAGAGCAAGGGAAGGGGTGACATTTCCAAAAAGAAATGTACTCTTTACCTGATTTATGTAACTGTAACTCCTCTGTATATTACCTTTATAATAACAATAAAAAGGAAGTGGCACTGTGGCTCAAGAGGTAGAGCGCTTGCCTTGAGCTGAAGAGCTGAAGAACAGCGGCCAAGCCCAGAGTTCAAGCCCCACAACAGACCAAAAAAATAAAATAAAATAAATAAAAACAATAAAAAATTAAAATAAATAACTCAACAATTACTATGTCTTAAGTAAACACCTTAAAGGTAAGCTACAATGTGTAGTCTGAAACTAAATCGATAGACATTTTGTATATTCTGTTAGTTACCTTAAAACTGAGTAATCTATCTTACACTTTGGATCTTTTACTCAATGATAAATCTACAACACCAGCATTGGTCACTTAGAAAATTTTGGTTCAATGAGTTATGTAACTCTTCCAAATATTAACACTTTTCATTACACAGTACAAAAGAATCCCACTCATTGGTATCATCAGCAGTCCCATGCTGGGAAGCTGGAAATAACAAGTTTTCTAAAATTCCAGATTTTGCTTGGGGGCCCAAACTTTGTGACTGGTAACAACAGGTAAGTATTGTCCATTTCCCTTGAAGGAGCAGGCTCACTTGTCCATTTTCAAGAAAACACATGCCAAATGCTCAAGCATGAACAATCGTAGTTTTTGAGTCATTCCAAGAGAGAGAGAGAGAGAGAGAGAGAGAGAGAGAGAGAGAGAGATTTCATAATAAAAGCAAACCAGCTTATAACTCAGATAGACACATCCATGCTTTTCGTTTCAATGATCACCATATTATCTGTGTGCAGAGGGGCTCTGAACATACTTCCCACTTCATCTCACCAAATGTTGCTGTTGCAGTATAAGATAACATGTAAAACACTACCATAATATTATATGAAAGATTGCATATTATGTATATGCAAGAATTAAAATTAGTAATTTTTCTGCTCCCTCAGGGACATTCTTAAACAAAACTGGCTTTTTAAAAACTTGAGTAGCTGGGATGTAGGAAGAAAACCTGCATGATTTGCTGGAAAGCTCTTGCTGAGTGGTAAGGGCCTAGCAGTTTTACCTTCCATTGCTGTGCAATCATTAGTGAAGATGGCAGCACGTGTAAAGGGCAAATAGTTCCTAGTGGTATAGGAGAGGGAACTGAGACCTTACTGACCTGATTGTTTAACACTTCACCCTCGGTTTCCTCATTTGAAAATTCATAATAATACCTTCCTCAGGGGTTGTGAATATTAAATAACATAGCTATGTAAAGTTGCCCAGAACCTGGTTCTCTCAAACAACCAACCCATGAACAAAAAACAAAAACCAACAACAATTGGGAGAGATGGGGGAGAATGATAAAAGGGGTGACATTGATGTATTGTACTCATTAATTGATATATGTTAAAATCCTTTTGAAAACTAAAGATAATTTAAAAACCAAAACAAACAAATAAACCAAAACAAAACCAAACAAACAAAACAAAACAAAACATCGTATTGTGTAGCCATCCTCACCGTCCACTCCCAGTACTCTTCATCCTCTTCCACAGAAACTCTGCACTATTCTGATACATCTAGTGAACATCTACTAACTCTCCACCATGTTCCCTTGGGTAGGTTTGGCTGGGACTCCCTAGCTTTCCCAGAGATGGCTGCTCTCTGTTCCTCAAACCTGCTGGAACCCCTTGTTCTGGACAGCAAGGTAATACTGGGTTTCTATGTCAGTCCCTTGAAATGGGCTGTGTTTCAGAGGACAGACACCATGCCTCCCTCGTGCTAACAGCAAAGCCA